GAAAACCCTGCCAGTCCCTCAGAAAAGTGAGGGTGACCCTTTTCTTCAATGAAGTTGGTTTCATTACCAGCCTCAAATGCCTCCAAAGTTAGAAAAGCTCCAATTTCACCCTGTAGTCCCCAGTTTGCTTCTGCCACCTGCTGGAAGGAAGTAGGCAGCTGCAAAGCGAGCACCGGGGAGCCTCCAGAGACTCTAAGGGCCTAGTTAGTCAGTGACTGGAGAACAAAGTCCTCAATAAAGGCTTCCAGGGCTCTCTGTAAAGCAGTGTAGACGAATGCCCCCTAAAGAGAACGGAGCTGTAGAAAGGGACGACACTCCCCCACTCCCTCCTGGAGCCTCCCAAAAGCAGACCAGGAAGCAAGCATAGCTGCTGTCCAGGTTAGAAATGTTTGTCATCCTATTCTCCTTTCCTCATGGAAGCTCAGACACAGGGAGGCTGAGCCCTAAAAGCCTCAGAAAGATGTTTACCTCACAGAACGGAGGAATGAGGGTCCTTGGTCAGATTGGATGTGGTGCCCAGTGTTTCAATTTCACAAGGCAAAGTGGGCTTTAAGTTTCCAAACCCAGCTGGGCGTTGATGGCGCATTCCTTTAATCCCAGCACTCGGGAGGCAGAGGCAGGTGGATCTCTGTGAGTTCAAGGCCAGCCTGGTCTACAAGAGCTAGTTCCAGGACACCCTCCAAAGCTACACAGAGAAACCCTGTCTCGGAAAAAAAAAAAAAGTTTCCAAACCCAGTGCTCATTCAATTCCCCATTCCTTCAGTACATCCCAATATGACTTGGGGCCGCAGGATAAAACAGCAAGAAGAAAATGGATCAGAAACACTCCTCTTCATTCTACTGAGAAGAAGCCCTACCGTTCTGACACTGGTTCTGTAGTTGGCCTGAGGAAGGCTCTTCAAACAGAGCAGAGAGGAGCCGACTTCAAAACTGTTCAATTCAAAAATGGAAGTAAGAATTTCCCAGAGATAGCCGGGCGTTGGTGGCACATGCCTTTAATCCCAGCACTCAGGAGGCAGAGGCAGGCGGATCTCTGTGAGTTCGAGGCCAGCCTGGTCTCCAGAGCCCGTGCCAGGATAGGCTCCAAAGTTACACAGAAAGACCCTGTCTCGAAAAAACAAAACAAAACAAAAAGAAAAAAAAATTCCCAGAGACAAGCAGTCAATTTTGGGGTCCGTGGATGCGGTTTAGACTTAAAAGGACTCTGCAGAAGAGACATTGCTGAGTAAGAAGGCACACCTAGAGTAGTAAGTTGAAAGGAAAAAGGCAAGGTTTGAGGACAATGACAAGGCAAAAAGCCGCTTGAACTCTGGGTTGCAATATAATGGAAATTATTTCAGATTCTTTCTTTCTCTTTTTCTTTTTGTTCTTTGAGACAGTGTTTCACGGTACTTCCCTGAAACTTGCTCTGTAGACCAGCAGGCTGGCCTGGAACTCACAGAGATCCACCTGCCTCTGCTTCCTGAGTGCTGGATAAAAGGGGTGTGCCAGCCCAGCTGGAAATGATTTCTTACAACCCAGAGTTGTTCAGTGTGTGTGTGGGGGGGCAATTGTAGCTAAAGATTTCTGTGATGATGTCAATGGTTAAACCATGACCCAGTATCAGACACTATCATAGCCACCCCCACCCAGTTCATTAGTATCACATACTTGCTTGATTTCAGAGAGATCCAATATAAATGAATTAGCATAATCCCAGTTCAAGAAACCTGAATAGTTACACTCCAGGCTATTGTTTAGCTATGATACAATTGAGGCCAATGAGAGTTGGTTTTAGGAAAG